CGTCCTTGTTCTGATGGTTGAGCACCTTCTCTCCGGCTTGCTTGTTGGGTCTGCTAGACGCTAGGTGTCAGCCTCTGTCTCTGTCAGGGCTCTCTTGTTGGAGCGGAAGGCAGCTTTCTGTCACTGCTAAGTTTAAACAGATTGCTAGTCAGATGAAGTATTTATTACTGCTGTATTTTAGGTTTGTGTCAGCCTTTTCCAACCCTCATTTTTCATAATGACTTCACTCCCGGATCATTGTATAACTTTATCTTCTCTATGACTGAAGCCTCGGCTCTGTTGTTCCTGTTTTCAAGTGTATTTGATCATTTACCCTGGTGTTAGAAAGATACTTAACTTGTTTTGTGATATTTATATTCTGTCTTGTAATATTGAACACTTAAGAAAAACGTCATGTCTGCATTTTCTGGTTGCAGAAAAAGTGCGGAGCAGCCTGTGCTGAAATGTGACTTTTCGTGACAGTGCTTTGGCTTGGGTTTAGCAGATAGAGATTTAAACAAGCCTTAGAGGTGACCTGCAGAAGAAAGAAACTGACTTGTGCCCTTTTTCATTTCTTCAGGATAAATACAAAAGACCTGAAAGGTTCTTAAGGCAAACTGCTTTTTTTCCCTCTGTGTCTTTTCCTTTGGAAATGGAGGTGTCATTAATCTGGAAGATTGGGGTGACTAAGGTCTGTGGAGGTGTATGCTAAAGCCCTTGGAAAGCTACAGCAGCTGGGAAGGGCGTGAACTTTTAATCAGTATTGCAAATTGTGGGGTCTTTTTTTTTTTTTAATATTATCCATTTAATGCTAATACCTAATTAATTCTTGGGGAGAAAAGAGGTTTTAGTGGTGCTGAGTGGGAACTTGTAATGTACTCATCCTGACTGCAAGAGCGCTCTCAGAGCCATAACGTGTATGCAAATGTAGTCTTTCTGATATTTTTAAGGTGAAAAAATAAGGAAGGGGGAGCAGACTTTTAAAAATTTCAGCCCTAGCCCAAAATTTACCAGTCATTTTATTTGAGAGAAAAAATTTCTAAATGCCCTTTCATATGCCTTATCGCTCCCAGCTCGAGAGGTTGCTCCCTTGTCTTGCCTCTCTGTGCAGTTGCACGCTGAGGCCAGTGCAGGTGATTTACTTGCAAGATCGATATGTTTGATGTTTGCTTGTGCCTTGTCTCCATTTTTTTTCCTTCTATCAAATACAATTCCACCGGCAGTGACAAAGGAGGAGCCCAGAGCAGTCATGTCCCCGGTGTGCTGCGTCGCTTGGAGACCCCTGCTGCTGCCTGTACTGCCCTTGGGCTCCCCCAGTGCCCCAGGGCTGCTTTGCTGGTGGGAGATTTTAGGCTGTGCTGAGGCTAGAAACCATCCATGGGGACTCAAAGCTGTCTTTGAAAAAGCCTCGTGTTATACCAGTGAAATGAAGGTAGAAATGCTGTGCTCAAGGGAGCCTGGCTGTACCCCTGAAACCCTCACCCTGAGTGGGCAGAGACCTTCCACCATGGCAGTGCCACAACTGCCACCCGCAGCCAAGGGATGTTTGCACAGAGCAAATCCTGGTTGTCAGGAGATCTCATAGCCTGTGAACCTGCACTAACGAACTTCAGTGCTAATAGAATCAATTTCTTCATAGTCTTTCAAATAAGGTTAGGGGACTCGTGGTCTTTAACAGATTCAGAGGGAAAAGACCCAATCCTGGAGTGTTACAGTCTAGTGACCTGAATTGATGCTGTACCTTATAACATATGTACTAGGAAAAACAGAAGCATGATCTAGTATTTGTGACCAGGGCAAAGGCGTTGTTAAGCCATGCACAGTTCAGGAAAAAGAGAAATAAAAATAAAGGAGGAGGTGTGGTATTTTATGTTAATGATGAATTAGGCTGTGAAGAAATAAAAACCAGCATAGATGAAACAGAATATTTTGGGGTTGGAGTCACTTTAGGGAAATCTGGCAGGAGGCTTTGTTTTGGGGTTTGCTGGGAAGTACATCAGCCATCCAGGAGCGGAGCTGATCGAAGTTGAAACGTACAGTGGAAATCAAACTCAGAGAGTTTAATAGACTTGAGGAAGGGGGAGGAAAACCCCTTGCATTTCTTTGAGAAGTAGCATGAGAAATCGTGGGCCTGACAGGAAGGACTGCTAATAAACCGTTGTAATTCCACCTGATTAGAGAATGGCAAGTGTAACGTGTACACTGAAGAAGAAGAAAGGGATCTGGGTAATGACTGGCATGTTAGCCTGACCTTGGCAGTGCACAAGGCTTTTGAACAGATTTTAAAGGAGGGAGTAAGTGGAGTTGTAGAGCTAAATGAAAAACAGGATAAAATGCACATGGATTTACCAGCTGCAGATTGTGCAGGTTAATCTGTTCCCTTTCTTTGATGGGACAGCTGATTTCCCAGTCAAGAAAAATGCAACAGATCCTATCTGTACGAAATTCCAGAAAAGTATTTCCCATGGTCCAACATCAGCTGTACCAGTTGATCAAGTCATTCCAGCTCAGGCCAATAGATTTTAAACTGGAGTAGATGAAGGCTGCTGGGGTGCTCAAGGGAGTGCAGGGGGACACTAAAATCCTTGGGTTGTTCAGCTCAGCACAAGTGGAAATGGAGAAGGGCTATGGTTGCTGCCAGTGAGTACATCAGGGTAGATGCTAGGAACAGGCAGTGGGTGTGGAAGGTAGTGGACAAGGTTGGCATGAACAGTGGGAACAGACTGTCCAGGAATATGTCTAGGCAGCAAGGTAACAAAGGTGTTACTGCATAGAGCTGCTGAAACACCTTCCAAAAAGGAGTGATGGAGGGAAAAAGCTGACTAGTTCAGGATGGACACTTAACTATTTTAGGAAAAAAATACTTAACAGACTGGGTGCAATATCATGGACAGAAGCTGATGACCCTGCAGAAGTTAGCTGTGTACATTGTTTTATATAACATCAGAATTTTCCTTTCCAGGCCTCCCAGGTGCTGCCTGCAGAGGACGTGCGTGAAGATGGGGAACCCATGCAAATTGCACAGAGGTGAGGAGGGTTATTCCGGAGCCTTGGGCTCACTCTGGTGACATGGGCTCTTCCCCTCTCTCTCAAGCATTTTGGGGTGCAGTTTCACAGGGGCTCTCTGCAGGGCCTGACAGCAGGGCTTGCTGGAAAGGCTGTCTGCGGTTGCTGCTATTAGTTATCCCTGGAAATACATGGCTTTGGAGCAGCGTGGGAGAGAGGTGGGGCAGAACTGGGGAGAAGACATCAGTTGTTACTTTACAAAACACGCAAGGTGCATTCTAGTACAAATCCAAGGACTTGATCCTTGCCCTCTGAAGCTAATGTGACATGGTGCAGTAACGCTGTGGTGGTGGGTAGGTGAGCTAAAGGTGACTTATAGCGATGTCATCACGTGGTTTGTCTGGGAAGGCACATAGGCAGCATGGTGGAGGGCTTACTGGATTTCTGTGTGTATTTTTATGTTCTTGCCTTATTGCTGAAGAGGAAAGAAGGGAGGAGGAAGCCAGACGGCACTGCCTATCAGCCAAAGATAGAGTGCAGTGCTCCAGAAAAGCCACTTCAGCAGATGACAGGTGTGGGACAAGTCAACATGATTTTCTTCAGATTTAAGCCTACTCCTCTTTTCCTTTTTTTTTCCGTCTCCTTCCTGCGGGATGCAATTCTGCAGCAAAGGCTCTGGGAGAAGAAGGGCAAATGGGAGAGGATTCAAGGAGCAAGTTACAAGAGAGGGCAGATAATGTCATGTTTTTAATTTGCTGGGTTTTATAATTTAAACCTGCTTTGGAACAAAACTGCCAACTTTCCTCTGATCTAACAGCATTTGGCCTGAGCAGTTAATATCAATATGCAGAGTATGAAAATCCCTCTTGCTTGCACCTTTCTAACGAGCTTAAAGCTCGCCTTGGGGAGCAGGAGGAACCTGTGGCTGCCGAGGCTGATGAGCCTGTGACAGCCGAGGTCTGAGCTTGTGTGCTTGCGTAGAGGGCACCCAGGTGTGCGCTCTGCAGCACTGGCCTCCCGCCTGCTTAAGGCAGAAGAGGCTAGGGCTGAGTATGAAAAGAGCCGGACCTCTTTCCTTTGGTGTAGCTGATGGAGTTGGTTTGGGATGTTCCCCAAGCCGCCCAGCAGCTCCTGGCTGTGCCCCTTGGGACCAGGACACACCTGGGTGCTGCGGCCTCTCCTTGAGCAGCTAGCACATCTGCAGCAAGGCAAGAAATGGCTGTGGTCTTCGCAGTTTTGTGCACATTAAGCGTTGCCATCTGGCTCCTGGTAATTTGCCAGCACAGTCCTCTCTCGGGTAAGGCTCAGGCACCCTGGCCGGCTGGCCTCAGCAGCGCTTAATGGGCAAACACGGCTCTGAGCTGTCTGGAGGTAGTGAAGCATTTTTGGAAGCAGCAGCAGTGAGAAGAGGCTGCTTTGCTTTCTGCGGGCCGCTCTGCCTGATTGTGTTATGCTTTGTGCGGAGCACGGTAGATTGGGGTTTTAATAAATGATTATAGGCTTTGTTACCAGGAGATAGTTGGTGTAGCAAGAAATGTGGTTTGACTTCAAATTGATTAGCCCATTTTATAAATGTCATAGCAAGTTGTTTTGTGTAGTTCTTTTGAAGTGAGCCCTGATGTTAGACACAGAGTAAAACACGCTCAGCCTGGATTCATAACAAATGCTTTGAGATGCTTTATTTAGAGAGAAAAGCCACTTGTGATTTCCTATCAGAATTTTGTTATTTATCATAAATCAGCAGTGGCTGTTCTCTCTTCTCTAAGGCCTGTGGTTGAGCTTAATAAATCTTCTATTTGTCAGTATGGGGATTCATGTTTTTAAAGTGTGTTCTTGCATACTTGATCAGACTAATCAGAAAGCCACGCAAAGCACAGAGCGTGTCAGCATGAGTGCCAGACTTACTCAGCAATGCCTGCCTGTTTCGGAAAGACACTGTGCAGTAGGGGGGAGGGAAAAAAAAGGAGGAATCCGAAGGTCAAAACAAGAGGAGCGGTCCCTGGTGCTGCTTGGAGGAATGGCCACGCTAATGTTGTTAGGACTTTGCTGCAGGGAAGCTTTGCCTTGTCTTGCTTCTGTGCTGCTTCTGGCTGCCATGCACAGTGATAAGGAGGAAAATTAGCAGCGTGAGGAGGGAAAGGGTAATGCAGGATAAAGCAAGTCTGTGTCTGTCTTCTCTGAGGATTTCCTTCCCCAGATGGAAAGAAGCACAGTGCTGGTACCTGCACAACTCCCAAATCTTCTAAGTAGAAAGCATCATGAGAGTCTCACAGTTGTGCGCAGGTATTTTTGCTCCCCTGACATGAGATAGTGACCCTTTGTGCCTTTTTAGCAAAGGCTTCTACAAGAAAAAATGTTCCCTTTGAGGTTTTTGCTTAGGACAGCATTTTACACCCATATTTCGCTGTTATCCTGGTCATTTCTGGCTATCAGATATTGACCACTTGGAAATTATGGCATCATTTGCTATTCTGCACTGGGTGAGACAGGCAGGCGTGTGCTGTCACAGTTACTGGATTGGAGTGTTATATTATATTTATATTTTGAACAGCATCTCCGTGTTGACCACGCTTGGGAGTAAAAGGAGCCCAGATATTGCCACAGAAAACTCTGCTGAAGAGGAGATCTCTGTTTGCCCAGGTAAGAGGCACTTGAGAATGTTCTGAATTTTGCACCGAAAGTTACATGCTTATAACCTTCAGAGAAAAGAAGAGAATTTTCAAGTTATTTGAACAAAACAAGATTTCTTTCCCAGCTGTGTTTATCAGGGCTGAAGTTATCCAGGTAATTTAGTTTGATTCCCTGGTTTTGGACCCATTTCCTCTAAGACAGTTCTCTGACCAGAGATTGCTGGGGACTCCTGCTGAAGAGACATCAGGATGTCCATCAGTATGGAGGGATCACTCAAAACAAGGTGTCGGGAGTGGTCTCTTCAATCTAATCAATAAATTTTCAGATTTTTCAGTGTCAAGATATATGTAAAGCATGAGAGCTAAAATAATTTTTGCCTTACATTAATTAAACATGTTTGAGACCAATGAGTTTCTCTTCCTTGGTCTCTCCTACCATGTTTGAGATTTCCAGTCCAGGGTTTTAAGTGAGGAAAATTAATGAAGAGACCGCTCCTGTTCATGAACAGCTGGAGAGAGGGAGGTCACGGTGGTGCTTGGAGGCATATTTTGTTGCTAAGGAAGACACAGAGGTCTAAAGAAGGTGTGACTGTGAGGCAGACGGCAGAATGGGAGCTCTGTTTGTCTCAATGCGAGAGAGCGCTCTATTCTTGCTTTGTCTCTATCCCAGCAAGTGTCCCACATGCTTTTCCTGAGTCTAGTCTCACTCCCCATGAAGCCGCAAAGCTGCGGTGGCTTTGTCCTCACACCACCGTGCTGTGACTTTTAACCCCTCATCCGTCTGTGGTGTTGCACATTGTCTGATAACATTTGTGGCAAGTCTAAAAAAATATTTTGAAACTGTGAAAACGCTGTTAAGAAATGGGCTAAGTTACATCAACAAGTGAGGAGATGGTTTGGGGGCTGCAAACCTGCGCTGACACGGAGGTGTTTTTCTGCAGAGACCCAGCCGAGTCCATTGGAAGATACTGAGGTGGAGAGAGGAGAGCTCTGCTCGGGCAGCAGAGATACACCTGTGCAGGTAAAAGACCCCGAAGTTGGGGAAGGATCCTGTTTCGTAGACCTTGGGTTCAGCTGGGAGCTTGGACTTCTGCTCTTGGGATCCTCACAAACAGTTCCCTCTTCCCTTTTCTCCACCGCTTCCTAATTCCAGTCTTTTTTGGCTGGGGACTTTGTGCAGCTGCTTCTGCAGCCTTTCAGTCCTGGAGCTGGAGAGTTATTACCAATTCCAGCTTGTTCTTTTATACCACGTGCACTGTGGATGGCAGTGCTGTTGCTTGCCCGCATTCAGGAGTACAGTGCTGTGATGGTCAGCGATGCAGAGGGACCCCAGGAGCTGTGAGGGGAGCCGTAGTAAACCTCAGTTACTTGTGTTCTGACGTGCTTTTCCCTGTTACAGTCCTCTGAACTTTGGTGTTTCTTCTCCACAGTCCATCTCTGCAGAGGCTGAGGAGAGGTTCATCCAGAGGCTGGGCCAGGATAAAGATGTCATTGGAATATTGAGGGCTGGTGGTGGTTCAAGCAGAGTGACCTGAGCCTGGGAATCTTGATTTCTGTGCAGTAAGAGTTAATAGCAGTAGTAAGTCAGTGGCAGGGCCATCCTCTTACCTCCTGATGCAGATGTGTGCTGTTGTGCGGCTCCTTTCCCCATGTTGTCACACCTGTGCAGCAATTGCTTTGCAGCTGTCGCTGTACTGACATCTGACTTCAGTTCCTGCTTCTGATAAAACTCCCTTTGTCTATTAATTTAGAGAGCAATATCAAAGGGGTTGCCAAGTACTCCTCTGGCAGGGTACATGAATACAGAATCGTACAGCTCTTGACAAGAGGATTCATTTGTGGAAAGCTCATTCTGGGAGTCTGCAGCTTGTACAGTGTGTCTGCAGCTCTGATGTCTCATTGTCACAGGCCTCTTAATAAACCAGCTTCTGCTCTCGTGTGCCTTTCATTCTGCAGGTATCTCAAAGCACTGCTCAGTCAATTAGAGACTGCAGCAGGGAGAGGTGGCGGTCCTGTGCCGAGCCAAGTAGCCGCAGCCACCGAATCATGCTCGTGACCCATTTGGCTGTGGCCAGGATGCTGCCCGGTCCCTCGTGCTTTGCAGAGGGTGCCCCGGGTCTCACACCTCCGCCTAGACGGCACAAGGTGATCAGCACAGTGTTCGGGAGCGGAGCAGTGGGGCTTCCTGGGGATTGTTTGACAACATTATTGTTGGCAGCAGGTACCGGTCCGGAGCCTGCAGCCCTCCAGGAAGACAGCAGAAACAGCTACCATGTGCATCAGCGGTTAGCATGAAGCGTGTGTAGACTGCTGGGACTGACTTCTTCCTAGCAGATGCTGAGCCAGGACACAGGAGTCTTGTTGTTGAGCTCAGCCTCTAGCATTGCTTTTAGCTGGCTGTTGGCTGCAAGTACTATGTCTTGTAGGCAATTTCCTCTGCTAAAGAGGAGAGGCAACAGTCTCTGCCTCTGACAGGGGTGATTGGTTCTGTGGTTGAGGTTTTCCAGACTGTTATAGCAAGGTTTTGTACAAGCAGTTTTGGGACTGCGGTGTCTTTTGTTACAGAATGTTGCATTTCTATTTAAAATTAGCAATTTACCACCGAATGTAGGCGGGCAGGGTGTGCAGAATTGGTGATCTCCTAAGATTGCTTTAAAAATGGCAGCTAGAAGGAGCAGTGCCTGCTGCTTTTCCCATCATATTTTTTAACGTGTGTTGTCTCACTAGGATAATTCAGGTTTGATCTGATCATTCATATTTGACACATCTTGTTTTTTATGACTCTTCTGTGTGACGTCCCACAGTGAGGACTTTGCAAGGTGTAGTGACACTGAGATGTGAGAGCAGGGGTACGAGTGCTAACACTGTAAGTGATGTACTTCAGCAGCCTGTGTTTGGCTGCAGGAACTTTTTCTGCAGAAATCCAGGGCAGAGAGCCTCCTTGGAAATGAGAGAGGTGTTCCTGGAGCTCGGTGCTGTAGCCTTTCAGCCGGCATCTGGGAGAAATGTGTTTTGGGAGTTGCATTCTCAGCTTAAGGCTAAGGCCTGCAATTTTTTGCATAGCTCCTCTGAGTCAGTAAAGCACCCTCCTTCCCTTTAGGACATAAAAATCAGGATCAGACCCTCATTTGGAAAAGCAAGTAATAAATTGAGTAATAGGACAAAGCACTCCAGTGGCACTGAGCATCTTAGCTGACCCCAATTACTGCTTCCCTGAAATTATACCATTGGAGGGAAGAGACAGCAGTTTTGCTGCATACTGTCTACATGTCACTGCTTAGCCCTAAGAACAGAAAACTCTCCTATATTATTTTCCTATAGCTTTCTTCTGCGTGGTTCATATTTAAATACCTTTTTTTAATCATTGCGGGCGGGGGGGAGGTAAGGCTCTTTCTTAACATGGAGAAATCTTGTAGCAAGCCTGACTAGGCAGAGATCTTGTTATGAGTGAGATGGCAGTAGTCTACTGCCTCTTGGGAACATCAGTAGCGTAGGGAGAAGGCTGTATTGCCACGGGTGGGTAGCAGAGCACCTTTGCAGCTGTGTAACCAATGTAAAAAGGGAGAATCGGTAAGTGGTAATGGCACCCGGAGAACAAACACAGGCTGTGACATTTTGCCCTGGTGAAAAGCCACTGATAGTAATTTTGTGTGACTTGGATTTTTAATGGTGTTGCCTCTCTCCTTGATGTGTGTCCCCTCTGATGACTGCTCCACCACCTCCTCTTAGAGAGGAGGAGCTTCCCAGTGATCTCTCTGGACTCCCTAAGAGCACAGCAGCCTCCTTTCATCCTGGGGGAAGCTGTGTTCCCAGATAGTGCTGCCTGTGTAGCGTGGATCATGTCCAGAAACTGATGAGCACAAGTCAGGTGTTGAACTCTTGCTTTGCCCCATGAATTTTCCATCAGTTTCGCTTCTGAGCTTTCCTGGTTAATGGAAGCTTTGCCATTTTTCTGTGGTAGTACAGGTGAGGTGATGTTTGCCTTAAATGGTGTGCATGGCTGTGCAGGGAGGGTTCACCATGATTCAGCAGGACATGTTGCCTTTGGAAGAAGAATTAGTTATTAGTGCTGCACAGTTTACTTGGCCAGTGGTGTTATTTCTGACCGGTATGTGATAAAGGGAGAATAAAACTTTCTGAGAAAAACTGAGTCTGTGGTAGGGTGAGTAGCTACCAGACAACATGGAACTTTGCATCTGGGAAAAAAAGAGAAATGCCACAATTAACTGGCTAATTTTTTGTTCTTTTTCCTTAGGCTGGTGGTGATGAAGATGCTGGCAGGACTATGTCTGAGAACAGCCCTACAGCTGCTGACCATGTGTCCTGCCCACTGTGTGACCAAGGCTTTCCAGCTAAGGAGATCGAGCTGCACGCCATGTACTGCAACGGCATCGTGGGAGAGGAGGCTGGCGAGGACAGTCCAGGTCTGCTGAGCGCTTCTGTGTGTTTGCTCTTTGTGCTCGTCCCCCTTTCCTGTTACCTGTGGTCAGATGCTACAGGCTTGTCCCTCTAGGGATATTTGGTGCATGGCGTGTGGGGAGGTTTGTTCATTCTGCCTTGTTCTGTCTCCAAACCAGCCAGGAGAGTGTTATCGGAGGCTCTTGTGTTTCCAGCACCTCCTGCACAGAGACATCTCTCTGATCAACTTCACATTATTAGTCCCTTGGAAAGCGTATAAGCCGAGTATTACCCCAGGATCTAGCCCTGGGTGCTTTAAGTAGTATTCATAAGACATGTCTGTTGTGTGTTTTGTTGAGGACCTGCAGAGCATCTGCCAGTGGTAGAAAATGGCAGGCTCCCGAGCCACGCGGGCAAGCGTCCTTCAGGGCTCTTAAGAAGGAGAATGTTCTGTACGACTCCAAGCACGGCCTGCACTCTGGAATGAGTCTGACATTTATATGTGCAAAAATGGCTTGTTTAGCTGTAAGAGATTGCAGAAAAGTTTCCCTCTTGTTCCTCTAAAATTGCAAAATGATACCTATCGATCTGGGATTTTTCTCCTTCATGTGAAGAGGGAGGCATAGAAGCACAGTCAGAATGCCCGTATTAATCCTCTTTACAGTCTTCTCCGTATCAGTTTTCCATAGCCAACCTTTGTAGAGCTTAAGTGAACAAATATACCGGTTGGTTATCAACATATTCAATAAGTTATGTTTTAGCTGCTGCTTGAAATGTAAAGTCTGTGTTAGCACAATGTCAGGTAATATCAAAGTAGTAGCTTGTAATAAGATTAACTTTTCAGGTTGTGAATATATAATTTTCAGTTACATACTGGGTTATTAAATGCAACCTAAATCTATGATGTTTAAGCAATTTGAGCAAATCGGAGCTAGTACAAGAACTGTAACTTCTGCATTCCTCTAGCAGGAGGAAGTTTCACCGTGTAATCTTAATGCAGAGTTGATGGACTTTTAAAATACAAGGTCCCCCTGTTATACTAAATCTTTGGGGATATGACATGGGTCCTGTCAAGATAACAGGAGCCAGAGCAGCGGCTGGCACTGCTTGGTGCTTAATTTTGGTGGGAAGTTCTCTCTGGTGGCACAAACCAGCTACTAATGCAAAGCATTCGGCTCGGGCAAATCACAAATTATCACAGTTCCTCTCCCACCCTCAATGCTGATAAAGGTCTTATCTGCGCTACAAAATGGATCAGAATTTTGAGTGTGGCTTTTAGCATGAATGTCTTTGGCCCTGTGGTAATCGGGTCCTTGGTGTGGCTGGACTGTGAGTATATCCATTGATCCTGGGGAATCCTGACTGTGATCAGGGAAAAGCTTTGAATTCTTTGGCAGTGCAAGGGAATTTGTTCTTTCCTTTGGT